CAGAGAGAAGACTCAAGGATGTGCGGACGATTGATGTAAAAGAAGATGATAGAATGAAATTGAAGTAGATGATACCTAAAGGGAGAAGCATAACGAAGAAAATAATTAAGAACATGTGTTATATTTTAATGTAGCCAAAGTCCAAGCACTGTTCATTTCACTAAGTAATATTTTTCACCTGACCTTCTCTGAGCTGTGAGCAAAATTATGTTAAGGGGACCCTTCACCTGACCCCTGAGCCATGTAAACTTTTACACACAGTTAAAAATGCTACTCAAGTCTTAACACTGTAATGGACCTTTTCAAAACCACATTCTTGATGAATCTTCGTAGAGTTTTGTTGCCATTGTTATAGAAGCTGCTTGTTATCCCTAATCCACCAGGCCAAATTTGACAGCACGAAGAAAGAGATGGAGTCTATGGAGATGGAGGTGATGGAGGCTCGACTCATCCGTGCTTCCGAACTCAGTGGAGAGGTGGATGATGATGAGACAGGTTAGACACGACCTCCCCAAGCACAACAGTACTGACCAATCAGGACATAGTGATACTGATCACTCCTGGGTGTCAAGCTTCTTGTCACTAAATCAAATGAGTATAACTTATTCATAACTCTACACAGTTCCAAATCCTGTTTGTACTTCCATAGATTTATAATTGCACGCAATAATTCACTTCCTCTCATTTTTATTGGTTGAGACCCCTCAATACTAAGAGCAACATTCTAGTAAACCTATACAGTTGTTTTTTGTAACTATTTTAAGGTCTATGAGGGTGTACTACTGCAGCATCATTATATTGTGTATGTAATGTAACAAAGGGGGAAAAAACAACAAGGAACGTTGGTGGTTGCTACAGTTTCTCTTTCAGCAATTCTATCTTTCACTTGAGGCTTTCTAAATACCTAAAACGAAATTAACACTTGACAATCTCTGCACAAGCTCACATCATCAAATCATTCTTGTGGTTTGTGTTATGTTTTCTGTTCCTTAAATGGACTCTACTTCACATAGCCCCGCACAGCTGTTACAGTACCAGTTATTCCAGACTGTTAGAAAAACCCAGTGTGTGTTCTTTAGTGGGGGTGCAGGAACTGCAGGGGTAATGTCCAATCGATGCTTTGACAAAAGCCAAGAAAAATCCAATGTGAAGAAGTACATTAGAGATGGATTGGTTCAATGCAAGAAAGGAAGCAAGGACTCAGTTCATGACGGCCTGCAGGCCTGCTGCCAGCCGTCTTTGTGTGGCCTGCAGACTTTGTGAAAGAAGAATTGATTCCTCAGTGTCTCCATCTTGCAACAGCTTTTCACTTTTGTACTACAGTAAAGGAAAATGATGTAGACCACACTCATGGAGGGGTATTTATGCAGGACTGAAGTACATTCAGTACCTGTAGGTTGCTCCTCGTGGCTATAACTGACAATTGTATAGGTCTTACTAAAGTGCAGTTCAGAGTATTGAGGTTGGTAAAATAAGAGAATGTTGAATTAATGGACACTGGACAATTCCCTGAAGACGCTCTATAGGGTTCAGTCAGGTAACTTAGCTGCTCATTCAAGCACAGTAATAACACTGTCACTGTGGGCATTTGCTAAGTCCTGTTGGAAAATGAAATCTGCATTTCAATTAAGCTTTACAATAGATATATGAATTGCTTTAAGATATCCTTGGAGATGTTTTGCCTTGGACTAAGCAAGGTTGACTTTAGTTCGTAGCATCTAAATGTTTTTATTCTCAGCCTTTCAGAATGTCTTTTATGGCTGGATACAGTAAATACATGTGTGGTAGTGAGTACACTTCCAGCACAAGCGACAGAGCACATGATGTAGACATTAAAAGTACGAAATATCACAGGAGGAGAGTGGAAGCTGAAGTATGAGCGAGCAATCAGGGAGATCGAGTTCACCAAGAAGAGACTGCAGCAGGAGCTTGATGACAAACTGGAGGTGGAGCAGCAGAACAAGCGGCAGCTGGAGAGG